CAGGGTGATCAGTGGGGTGTGGTACTCAGGGTGATCAGTGGGGTGTGGTTCACAGGGTGATCAGTGGGGTGTGGTACACAGGGTGATCAGTGGGGCGTAGAAGGATCTATGAGTAAACATGTTAAAATTGACTGGTTTCAGGCTGCAGAGGAGGACATGCCAGGGTCAGGGCCAGTATCCAGAGCTGTGACAGGTATTCACAAGTTCAAATTACTTTATTGAATCTTAAAAACATGTAGTTATACTGATTAAGAAAAAAGTTTAATCTGGTAAAGATACATTTTGTTCGATAACTTTTATATGTAGCTGCTCTGTTGACTTGCTCACATCTTTGACTGATGAGATTATCGCTGAGCCTGTGGCCTCATTGATGACAGGTCACTTACATGTTACCTGGTATTTACAGTGACTTTTGACGCTCCTCCAGACCGGTCTGTCATTGACAACGCCACCTATTTGGAGGCTATAAATTATTTCTGTGAAATGGAAATAGAGAAGGAGCTGGACAAGATGAGGAAACGTGACAGTGAGGAGAAAGTTGTGGAGGCTAAAAATACGGTGTTGGTTCTGCCCAAGGTTGGAGGGTATGCACTATAATGATAGTTGTGCACGTGTGCATCTTTGCCACCACATTAGTAAATAATTTAAACTCTTCAGCTTTAAATTTTAACAGTTCATTTGGGTAGGACTACAGTTACAGTTGTGCAACCATTATAGTAAGAAAACTTGTGCTGGCAATTTCATTCACAGTTCTCAGTCAAATTCAAAGACATGAAAGCATGCCCCACTCTTGATTTGCTGCTGCAGTTGTAACAACATGCCTGTGTTCTCATTTCAGCACCCCAAGCCTGGTACGCCTGGGTGAAACCCACACCAGTCGTTGTCATGCCCGTAGGGAGACTAACCTGTCACTGGACTATGTCCACCCATCAGTGACTGCTAGGGGGCGCCAGCCAGACCCAGGACAAATCTATGGTTTTGCACCTAGCATCATCATGCCTATGAAGACTGTGTACATGAATCCCTTCCCCAGCCCCATTGATGAATACGACTCCTGGAACCAGCAGCCTGTATTGCTCATGTTGAAATCTTCACAGAAATACTTCGTACCATCCAGGTCTTATGTCACTGACTTTGAAGAATTGTTTTCCTGATGTGAGCAATGCATTCATATTGGAAATGATCTACTGATAAAAACAGGAATTGCTGCCATGGAAATATATTTAGTTATCATGATGATGAAGGCTTCATGTTGCTATGGTTGCCTAAGCCAAACTTGTTTTATTGTCATTGTATATCAGTTCATTGACTGCTGACAGGCTTCAAGTTTACAGAATTATAGCATCTTGTTATCATTGTCTTAGATATACAAAATATGTACTAACAAATTTTACACATTAATTTATTATGAAATAATTGTAACACAAGTCATCATATCAATTATGCATTTCTGTGATCGAAACCGTCCAGTGTCTACACTCCAGTTTGCGGTACTTGTGAGTCAAATTTTTGTTTTTCACTCTCATTCTATTTGCAGTCCTCAAGAGAGAACAGATCTTTTTAAAAAGAAAACAGATTTGTAAATATTTTTAAAAATATGTATTTATTGTTCATATACTTTAACTGTATATATTAACTGGTATGTTAGACTCTTTAACTGGTATGTTATACAAAATAACTGTAATATTGCCTGTTTTATTGGTAAAAATTGACTTGAATAGAAAATTCATTTACAAATTTGCAAACATACTAGTAATTAGCTATAACAGACAACATCAGTAAGAAAATGTTTAACAACTTTTATGTTAAATGATTGTTTAATAATAAAAAAGATTGTTTTTGAATATTTGGAAAATATAAAATTTGTCTGTGAACATAACGACTATGTAATAATTACAATATTTAAATACATAGTAATAATAAATAATTGCAGTGCTATCAGTGGACACGTCTTCAGGCTTTGCATTAAATATATCAAACATATTCATGGGCCCAAATTTCATTCTTGACTTTGGTCTCTTTGGCAAAAATTAAAGTCTGTAATATGTATTCTACTCAGCACCATGTTTGTCTCGCTTAAAAATACATCACTGACAAATAACATGAGATTGTATAAGATGTAAGTATCTGGACTCCAAGAAGTTGAATATCACAATATCACAGTTCATATCAACACAAGCATGTTTCCAGCTTCTCGTTCTCTTATTTATCAATAGCCAATATCTAAAACATTTAATATATAAAAGTAGTCAACCTTATAAACTGCATGCTTTTTTTGACCTAATTTTTTCCATACAAAAGAAGTATGCGTTGCTTGTCCAAAGGAGTGGAGTAGTGTTTTGACAAGTCACTTGTGCAATGAATGTTGACAACACAGATCCAGCCGTAGTGCATCTTACATACATGCCACACATCTAGTGCATGATAAACCTGGAATACCATGCATCAGCTTTGCTCTTAAGACTTCTGTATATCACCCACCTTGGAGTATCTTTTACATAACTGACAATGTCTGGTGCATAATAATCAATAAATATCATAAGGTGATGTCTCTGGGATAATAAAAGAGAGGGGTGGCAAACAACCATCATTCTCATGGATAATGTTGAACAGTTTCATTACCTCCGCCAAGGAGGTTATGTTTTCACCCCTGTTTGTTTGTCTGTCTGTCATCAACATAACTCAAAAAGTTATGGACCAATTTTGTTGAAATTTTCAGGAACTGTCAGAAGTGGACCAAGAAAGAGATGATAAGTTTTTGGTGGTGATCCGGATCAATAATCAATAAATAATCAATAACCAATAATCAACAAGGCAGCAAAGCTGTCAAATGTACAGACAAAAAACAGGAAATAACTATGCACAAAATAGGCTACTGTCATTTGTGATGCAAAAGTACATTATGTGAATGATTGAATCTGACAAACTGCAATAATATGAGTTTATTTCCATTTTTGAAACTTTATTACACAATACACGATGACAAGTTTACCATCATTTTTACAAAATCAACTAACAATGTTGTAAAGATGCAGGAAATGTCAAACAAACACTTTTATGTATCTTATTAATTAAATAATGAAACTGTTAACATGCCTAAGAATTAAATCTGAGGAAATGTGAAAAAACAGCATAACTTCTAAAATAATGGTTTGATCA